AAAAGGTTAATCTTAGCCTCAATGCTGGATAAAAGGAGTTGGTTAGGTGTACGGATAGTAACTACATCCAATAAAAAGGAATCTCATTAAAAAAGTGTAATGGAATTATGAATTCAACCATGAAATGATTATCATTTTACTTAAACTCGATAGTTTTTCATCTAATTTTCTAAGGTGAAGTCATTAACTCACAATTTAAAAGAAATGACATTAACTAAACTAAGACAATATTTGTGAATTTTAATTTCACAGACCAAATTGCGACACTATGGATCATCGTTGAACAATCAATTGAGTGGAACTCAACACTGTACATCAAATTCATTGATTATGAAAAGGCATTTGACAGTGTAGATAGGAGAACGTTATGGAAACTTCTTCGACACTACGGAGTTCCTGAGAAGATTGTCAATATTATCCGGAACTCATATGACGGACTACAATGCAAAGTCGTGCATGGAGGACAGATGACAGATGCATTCCAAGTAAGGACTGCAGTCAGACAAGGCTGCTTACTCTCTCCCTCCCTCTTTCTTCTAGTGGTTGACTAGATTATGAAGACCTCGACATCCGAGGGAAAACACGGAATACAATGGACAACTCAAAACCAATTAGACGATCTGTACTTTGTAGACGATCTAGCCCTTCTATCACATACACACGAACAAATGCAGATGAAGACAGTCAGTGTATCTGCAGCCTCTGCAGTAGTAGGCCTCAACATATACAAGGGGAAAACACCAAAACAATCACACTTAATGACGAAACACTGGAAAATGTGGAGTCTTTCACGTGCCTGGGAAGCATCATCGATAAACAGGGAAGTTCAGATGCAGACGTAAAGGCGAGGATTGACAAAGCAAGGGTCGTATGCCTACAATTGAAGAACATTAGGAACTCAAAACAACTGACTACAAGCCAACATCAATATCAGCAACAAACAGCCTATTGTGGGAGAGAACAAACCAGCTTCCACATGAAGAAGAAATTCGGTAGCACACACGACAGTATGAAACATCTATACAATGACTACTAGTTTCCAATGGCTTTCTAACCAAGGTTATTCCGTGTTGTACACTGCAAAAACACTAACATCGAATAAATTGGATAAAATACCTATCCCCTAATAGAAATGTTATAGATTAAATGAATTTTTTATTGATGTTAGACCACCGTTGAAAACTTGGAAGCAATGGATAGTCGTTTTGTCTTATTTTGGGACTCCTCAACAGTACGTATCCACGACCCCCCTCGCGGGATCCGAACCCAAGGTCTTCAGTCTTGCGTGCGGACGCTTAACCTCTAGACCACTGAGTCGGCATCCAACAGTGTTAATGTCTAACCTCAACGAATCCAAAAAATTGAGATGTTATGATATCAAACAAAAACGTATTAATCTTCACAACCCCAAACTGATCATTAGATGAATAGTTTATTTCTGAAAAGTTGACAATTACTATGGGGTACCGACTCAGTGGTCTAGAGGTTAAGTGTTTGCGTACGAGACTAAAGGCTTTGGGTGCGAATCCCGCGAGCGAGATCGTGGATACGCACTGCTAAGGAGTCCCACAATGGGACGAAACGTCCATCCAGTGATTCCAGGTTTTTGACGGTGGTCTAACATCAATCGGTTCATGATCTAAATCAATCAATCATTAATCTCCACAACCCTATACTGATAATTACTATGGAATTTATTCATATTTACATTCCTTATTTAGTCATCTTTTTACAGGTATAGATTTTTGAAAATCATCTTTTCATCTAATACTAGCCACGAGTAGTAGATTGTCTTTCTTCTATGTGTTTAATCACTACCCTAAAGTTTACTTCCTTTCCTCACGTATATAACCATAGGATGTTATTACGTGAATGAGACAAGTCAAATTATACCGGATCCATGATTCACAATAACTCACAATAGACAATCATATGAATACCAAAATAATAGTTTATTTAGTACAATTACAACGAATCAATTAAGAGTAGAAATCAATAAGAGAAAAGGAAATGCACATACTTAATAGTCATCCATTCTCAATGACCAACCATATTTTATTTTCATTACCATATATCCATACATTTCTGAATTAGAATTTCGGTTGACAAGAGAAAAGAAGTGACGGATGGAGACAATTATTCAACTCAGACGATGGATTAAGGATTGCATAACGTCATGGATCGATTGAATTTGGTCATCGACATCCTAGTCTTAAGGTTAAGCATTTGCGCGCCAGACTTTAGGTCCTGGTCTTGAGTCTTGCATGTAGGATCGTGGGTATACATTGCTGAGGAGTCCCATTTTAGACTGTTTGTTTATGAGATAGAGATTTTATTATGATAAATTTGTATCCATACTCTTAAGCAGTCTGATTAACATTAATTAGACATAATATTTTGCTGATGGACAAATCAGAATGAATCATTCAATCATTTTTCCATTGTAATTTCAAGTTAGTTAAAAGGGTACATCAATAATTGGTGTCTTTTTATAACTATAGATCATATCGCTAGTTAAAAAAGACAAGAAATACTGATGTTTGTGACATTTCAATGCACTTTTATTGTTGCACTTGTCCACTCTACCGTACGTGGAAACATACAACTGAATCTAGGAAAACAGGGACATACTGTAAACATAAATTCTTGTAATTTACATTATAGACTTACCTTAGTTAGATAACAATTGAAAACGAAGATGCACTGGATAGTTATTTAGTTCTATTATACGACTAGTCGGTAGTGCACATTCACGAACTTACCAGCAATCGAAAAGAAGAGTTTCGGATCTAATAGTTTACATTTTGATCTTGATCAATTCGTGATATAAATCACAACCATCTTTTAATGTCATCAATGGCTAACTGTCACTTCTCCGGATATAGATGAAATCTATTGGTGATAGATTCTTATTAGAACTCCAGGGATAAGATATAGACTTATTCAGGACCAGAACTAAATGCAGAACATACTTTTATATTGATTTCGTTTATATGAGCTAATTGTAGGATATCAAATAAATATTCTAATAGATTAGTGTTACATCCCGATGAGAATTATGAATGGTAACTTTGGAGATCCATTTATGGACCAATACTATGCGTATATTTTAATGGTATAATTATTAAGCAATTAAACTATTCATATTCGTGTCGCTCTTGTCATAAGGTTTATTTTTACCTCTGAACTATTATTATACGATTTACTATTCTTGAGTTATGCCCTGTCTATCAATTACTATCTCCAACATTCACCAACACATTTGGCTAAATCTTGTACAGGCGTTGTTTCCTATTTTATGGTACGATGTGGTCTGTTTGGTTTGTATATAAAACTAGTATGTTTGAAATAAGTGATTCATATCGCAGAGGCTGAGAGTGATGTTCTGGACACCAACGGGCAGGGTTAAACAGAAAGCAATGACGGACAATGACTCTAGACTGCTCGTATGTGTTTTATACGTCATTGGTCTGATCGATAATTCACTGTTCTTTAATTGGCGGAATGATTACGTTGTACATTAACAAGGCATACAGGCCACAATTAACACTCCCTAAGCAACCGTCAATAATTTTTCGGATGAAATCAGTTTACAAATGTTAGATTATTCATACTAGAACCAGAAAATTTAATAAATGTAATGAACTCACCGAATTGAATACTTAGTACCTTTGGAATTATTGTAATGATCAAATGGGCAGTTTGTTTATCAATAATCAACTATGAATTGAACAGATTTCAAGAAGATAAGTTAACACTCATTTTTGTATTAGCTGTGGTAAATCTTCAGATTGATGTTAAGAATTACAGTTGATTAGTCTCATATTGACTCTTATTGAGATGATTCAGGTAATCAATACAAAAATAAATTAAACTTTATCCCATTGCATAAGCTAGTGACTACATGAACTCAGTAGCTAAATGGATAACTCTATGGTGCTTGAAATGAACGGTAGAATTAGAGTGTAGATTTATGGTCTACTTCGTTATTAGTACTGCTCTAATAATAGACCTAATCTTAAAATTGTAGATTTGTCTTGATGTAACTGCTTAATCTATAAGATCATACGTGGAAGTCACATCATTGTCTACCCTGACTCATCGTATTTTAAAAATCACCAATATACGATATAGAACACATTTAGGAAAGAGATAGTACAATGTATTTATTATGTATAAAAGTTACACCACTCCTGCAAAACTGAGCTATGCCATCCAATGAATTCAATTTTTTCCCACCTTCTCCATCATTGGGTTTTTCTTCGTGTTAAATGTTAAATATCTATTTTCCCAGTTGTTTTGTGTTCCATTTTGAGGATTGTGTGGTTAGGGTCCAATGCCATTACAACAATCCTGAAATGAACATCAACTCTAAGGATACAGATATATCTAGTTGAATGAATGTCAAGATAGGACGACAGATAAGTCTGGAATTCCATTGCTAACCACTATCATTTTAGCTTATAAATGAACATTGTATAGATTTTTAAAGAGAATTGAAACTGTTGTTTATAAGTAAAGTATCCAATTAAGAATGAAATGCCAGTTAATAAATGAAAATAATTAATCAAATGTCAAAATAAAGGTTACATTATTGTCTTAGATACTTGATTCAACCAGATATATATCTATGATAGAATGTTGAAAGAAAAGTAGTAGTAGTAGTAGTAGTAGTAGTAGTAGTAGTAGTAGTAGTAGTAGTAGTAGTAGTAGTAGTAGTAGTAGTAGTAGTAGTAGTAGTAGTAGTAGTAGTAGTAGTAGTAGTAAAACATTTTGTTGTAGTTAATGATGCACAATAGGATATATGAATAACCACATTCCATTATGACCAGTCTATGTGCATTTTTAGTAACAAATTATTGACTGAGTTATATTATTTCGTGTGATTGTGCTATGCTATGCGGTGAGAGAGCTCAAAGTGCAATGTGATCCACGACCTGCCTGTAGAGAAATCGCGTTGTGATTAAGTAATATGTTTCCGATTCACCTGAAACCTCGAA